AATGAATACATTTTCCAAGAAATAAGAAATACTGTCTATTATGTCATTTATAAAAATGACATTATTATTTGTAATTTATTTTATATAACATGCAGGAAGTTTATGTACGTCAAATTATTCATTAAAAATAATAAAATCACCAACATGAATCTCAATTAAATAATTGAAAACCTTAACTGAGAAATTGATTACTTTCATTACAGACCTAAGGTTCATGTTAACTTCATGTTTATGCAAGTAGAAGACTAAAAACTATGATGAACTAAACTGTTTTAACTAAATATTTGTTAATATCAGGTGAGTGGCTTAATTAAGAAATAACCTAGATTAGGGTTTCATGTTAGTTGGCATTCATCAGTAAGACATAGCTACGATTTTGAGGAAACTAACAAGCTTTCTTTCATGTGATCCAGTGTCCAAATATGCGAACATATGTATCTTTGCAGATGATGAAACAGGAATTTTTTGTCATTACTTAATACTTGGTAGTGATTATTGTTTAAGTAATATTGTGGTGTGTGCTACTGATATCGACAGATATAAGTAATATGTATCATAAGTCGAAAGTGAAATGTCTGGAGGCAGAAAGTTAAACAGATCAAGGAAAAGAGAACGAGAACATAGGATGATTGGTGTGAAAACAAAGAGACAATGAAGTCTGAGGCGATTGATTGACATTTTTGCAAATGAAGTATGGCTCTCAGATTTTACTAAGGGATTCTGTAATTTTGTACTCAAATACATTCGATCGTCCCTGCTTGTGTTCTCGTTCAATACAATAATACTTAGGAAGAAATAGAAGCTCTCAAGACATTAGTATTTTTAATATTTTTGGTGTCATATGAATTCAACTTAATGTCTTAAATAGTTTCAGATAATACTTATCAACTATCGCTGACTTTTTTAGAAATGTAAAAGATTTAAACCACAAATTCAGAATGGATTCAGAGAGTCGACTGAATACATCCACACACTTATTGGAAAACTTAACTTTCAAAATCACCAACGAATTGATCGTAAAGTAACAAACTAACTAATTCAAGCCATTATATTTTATGTTATAACCCTTTAAGTTGTTTTGTCCTGTTTAAAGTAGCTAATTAATCTACAAGATATAAACATTTGTAAATATTTTAGATGAATTTAAGTTAGAGTAATATGATATATCAAGTGGATTTATGAAATATAAATGAAATTTATCTTATGCTTTGAGCTTGTAATTATATACTATTGTAAAGGAATGAAACACAATACATCTATATATTTCTTTTTATTCATAAGCATAAAACATTTTTGTATTCCAACTGATGTCTGTCTGAACCTTCAGAAAAAACTGCGTAAGCATTTTGTATTTAATTGCATCAATGGTAGTTTGTTCAAAAGTCTAACACTAAAAATGATACTGAATATTTTCAGTTAATGTTACTACTTTTCACAGATTGAACTATTATGACTTTCTATCCGATTATTAGGGTTTAGTAAATTCTCAGCCGATGAACTCTGAACAAAGTCTATAGGCAAAAACTACACAAACCTTAACAACAAGGATAGTTTAATTATGAAAGTCAGTCGGCATTAACATTATTACTAGTAACTTTAAAAATCTAAGGACTTATGAAAGATCACTAATGTTAGTTAAATCTCAGTCATGGTGTAGCTTAAACAAAGTCAATCAATTTTCAGTTTTTTTCGTGGAATTTCTAGTAACATTTATAGATAAACAACAAAATACGACTAAAGTTCTTAAAATTTCTCAGCACTATGAATACTCTCATATTAGGTTTACAGTTGTCCATAGTTATTTCAAAACCATGTCATAAATCCTATTTTAAATAAGTTGTGAGAGTTTTTATATTTCCTTGGCACATAAGTGTTAATTTTTAAGTAATTTAAAAACAGATACCATGAAAGAATAATTGAAAACGTCAAGTGAAAATGATCTGAAAATATATATGTATATATTTCTTCAACTTTATTTGAAAACTTTAATATCAGTAGTTGCGATCATGAGTCAGTTGAAGCTAGACCATCATGTAAAACCTGGAAGCACTAGACGCCCGTTTCCTCCTATTGTGGGACTCCTCAACAGTGCGCATCCACGACACAGGACCTATCAGTCGCGCGTGTGAGCGCTTAACCATTAGACCACCGAGCCGGCATCCAACAGTGTTAGGATGAAACGGTCGTCCAGTGCTTCCAGGTTTTCCATGGTGGTCTAGCTTCAGTTGACTCATGATCTCAACTATTGAAATCACTACAATCTCCACAAAACCCCTTCTGAAACTTAAATATGCTTATTATTATTTCTTCTGTTTGGCGATTTAAGCATGGGCGATATAGACCAATTTCAATAATATTTCCAACTCCAGCCATAAGTTTCCACCACGATTACTGATTTTGCAATCTTTACTGAGCATTTTATTTTGAAATCAAGGCATACTTCAGTGATTAACTCGCTGTACTTTGTAAATATTGTCTTTCTTACTTTGTATAACTTATGAAGAAAATCAGTTCAGTAGTTATTAGTCAAATACAGTCTGGATGAAATATTAGTACCTTCGACCAAGTAGACATGAAACATAAGATCTGCACAGAGTTAGCTGCGACGTCGCAAATTTGTAACCAAATCTCAAATTTTATTCTATCTGCACAATGAGTTAGTTGCATTTCAATAGGCTTTCATGAGTCTAATCTATTTTGTGGTATTTTTTTCCTATTTTTTCTAGATAACCTGGGGCAATTCAGCATCGAATATTCTTCTGTTTCTATTAATAAGGCAAAAGCGCATTGCGAGATTTAGATAGAGTCTGCGTTTCAAAACACTTTGCCGTGATAATGCCTTCCCTAAACACAATCAAGCGGAAAACACTAGGAATAAACTGATAATCTGAGGTCTTCGGATAAATTTTTATTCTATCAAACGATGATGAATTCAAATGAACGTGATGTAATGATTATCCACTTACCGTGATATTTTTCAAACAATTCCTATAAAGTCTGAAAAAGTAGTCATTTTGATGATTGCAAAAACTTTAATGACAATAAAATTACTTTTAATGGTTGACCTATTCATTGATTAAAGACATTTATGTAGGACTTCGGTTGACTTAAGACAATCAAGTAAATGTAGACAGTATCTTATTCGCTTGGTACGTCAGTTGCAAATGAATTACAGTCTGTTTTGAATTCAAAAGATTTGCTCTGAACGATCTACCTTCATTTTTGTTTAGAAATCAGTGTGAATAAACGATTAAGATGTTGGTTGAGTTGATGTTTTTGGAGAAATGTGGATTTGAGTTGGAAGGGAATGCATTATTAGGACCACTAAATATGAGCTTAAATCGATGTTCTGGCCATTACATGCACAAATGTTTGTCCAGGATCCTCTTATAGAAGAATATACTTCAATAATGTGTTGAAATATTATTTCAAATAAATAAATTTTGCTTTTTAGAATTGATAAAAATAAGTATTTATATGAAACTTAACTGAGTGATACCTACTTCAGTTATCGTAATGATTGAATAAGCGATGTTACGTATTAGTCATATTTAAATTCTGTTATAACAATAGGACTTTACGTTTTATTCTATGGAAATTTGTGATGATTTATGCTAATTTAACAGTCCTAGTCCGCAGATTTATGGAATCGTTTAATTGTAGAATATTCAACTAAGTGAATTAATATACTGAAAAATACTTTATCCATTATGAGAGAGTATTTCAATATGAGAAGTAGGTGAACTTTAATATAACTGAACTATCCATGCTCACTGATTATCTAAATATAGTCTTAGCACATTTTCAGTTAAATTAGACCTTTATGTTTTCTTATATACTTCAACAATTAAGTTTTCACCATACTACATTTATATTCTCTTAAAAAACATTTTCTTATTCAGTGGATGAAATTTAAATTCAAAGAAAATGAACTAACAAATAACTGATAGATCGTCTAGATTAAGGTAATCGATCAATGATTGGAATAATTTTGATTTAGGCGCTTGTAATGTATAAATAAATTAAGCCTCTTAATTTATTCTTAATAGGTGCGAAATTTACTTAGCTTTCGTCTCCTAAAACTACGCAGTTTAATATTATGACAGCCGATGTTTCTTATGGTTTATCAGAAAAGTAAAGACGAATAATTTGTTTTAATAAGAAACGTAAAGTGATAATTATTTTTAGTTACATATCGGTTATTTTACAGTTTCTCAGTTATATATAAATATATATAGACTAACTCGTAACAACACATATTTTCATAACTAACGCAAAATCTGTCAACGTTTCAGTTCACTGTGTTTAAAATACTTTATTTGAAGTTAGACGAAGCAATTTCCCAAAGATGACAACTTTTTTCTCTAATTCAAGATTATTTACTTGTAAGTAATATTTCCAATCTACTGGTAGACATGTTGCTCTTTTTAAAACGTCATTTAATTGATAGATAATAACTTGGTGAAAAAGCAGGGTAGAATAAATTCCACCATCAAAATTCCTGACTTATCATAAAAATGATCAGTGTTCTACTTTCATGAATCGAACTCCCTAAAACCGTTTAATTACAATCCATTAGAACATTTGAATGATGCTTATTTAATTTGGTAACACAAAAAGCGTTCAAGTATTAAAACATTTAAGATTGAACATAAGTCAACAATAATCATTGTAGATAAAGTCTAGCAGTCGGATCTTGGATGCGCATTCCATCACAGTTAGAAAACGTCAGCTAGATATACCTGCATCCCTGTGTTGATGTTCACCATGGGATTCCAATCCATTTCCTTTCATTTCCAACCTCATCATGTTATTCACTTAGTTACTGAGTTCAGACAGCCATTGACTTGTGAAATGAGATCAATTTTAATTTGTATATATTGATTGTTTAGATCTTTACTATGGATATTAAAGACTATAATTGATTAGTGTCTAATTAATTACAATTCACAACATCAATAAGAAGATTTAAAACAATCAATAAAAAAATGAATACTCATTATGATTTGATAAATTAATCTATTTTAAACCAGATATAAATGAATCAATGATATTCTTTTCTCAAATGAGTGGTCAAGTTTCTGTATTTTGATTCTCTCCTCTAAACAAATCATTTAATTTCTAGATAAGAATACAACAACAAATATTTGTGTACATATATTACTAATTAAAAACAAAGAAAAAAGAAAAGAAGGAAACAGTCATGGTTACATGAATTGATCATATTGTGAATAGGATTTCAAAAGAATAATTCACACACAAATTACATTGACATAATCAAAAGAAGAAAACAAAACGAAAACAAAAAAAGAACAAAACAATCATATTACACAATTTCACAACAGATTTACTTCTGGGAAAGAAAAGAGTTTACTTTTTTTTGTTTAAAAAAAATTATTATCTCAAAACATAATTAAATCGTCTGTCTGTTTTCTAAGAAAACATACAAAGAAAAGAAAAAAACCAAAAAGAAAACTAAACAAAACAAATAGTTGATAGGTTATCAACAATTTTATGATGTAACATGTGAATAGAATTAAGAAGTTCATATTTAAACAAAATTAAATGATTTTATCCCTTACATTACTGAACTTTTTAATCAATACAAATTGAAATGTACACATAAAAAATAAGACCAAAAATATAAATAAATAAACAAACAACTTAGGAAGAACATTTGGATCAATAAAGAAAAACAAACAAACAAAACCAATGAGAGGAACAAAACATTTTTTATGAATATGATTATATTATTGATGTATTTAAAATGTTTAGTATAATCTATATTTTAAATTCTTTTATGTTTATGCTTAAGATTTAATAAAATATAAACAAAAAGTTAACTGTTATCATTTGTACATCATTTCTATGTACGATATATATCTATATATGGTGTAGTTTTATTTATTTATGACCAAGTCTTATTTATTTCTATTCTGTTATTTTTTCTTTAAAATAAGTTTGTAAATGACTAAATGTTCACAATTCAATATTCAATTTAGATAAACAAAAAATATTAATAAGTTATTATTATTGTTGTGATATTTTGTAGATTCATTAACAGATTTTATGTAAGATTTTTTGTATTCACCAAATAACACAAACATTTTAAATAAATAAAGCATAAAATTATTATATTAGTTGATTTATACAAAGAAACTATATAATAATCAAGTGATTTATGTAATTCAAATTATTGAAGACATTCAAAAAGAAAAAAAAGTGAAATAAACATTAAGATTTCAATGTTTTCATAGATACTTATATCAAGTCATTATGTATTAGTAAGATGTATATTAAAAGGTGTATGTAATTGAAGAAACATTAGATTTCATCTTACTTGAATTAGTTAGTTTGTTTATCGAATTTATAGCCTGAAATTTGTTATTTCACTTGATTGAAACTTTTTCGAGCTACATATGAATTGTTTACAAGTAAACATTTGGAAAAACAAACAAACTTACAGGCAGATTATATAGTTAATAATCTGTAAAAAAGAAATGAAAAATAGAATGAATTTTAATTTGTTCTTTAGTATTAAAAAATGTGATTGTCCTATGTTTGAAAGTCTTGATATAGAATAAAATAACTGTGTCAATACATTACAGTCTTAATTAGTTCTTCATTTGATGTTAGTTCATAATGAAAATTAACTAAACTATTAAGAAATAATTTCTGGAAAGTTCAGTACAATTCATGAATGACAAAATAGAACTAAATGCACAAAATAATATAAAATGTATCAAACAACCTAATTGCATATATACATTACATAGCATATTAAGGTTCGAACACATTTCCATTTCGTCAAGATAGTAATAAATAAAAGACAGTGAAGATATTTTTCTAAAACACACTAACAACATTTATATTAATAATAATAATAAATAAGGCTAACAAGATTGATTAAGAAAAATTTCGATTCACTGAGGAGGTCGGTTGAAAGAATTGTTTTCATTTCCGGTAGTTTACAATAAACTACCTAGTCATTGTTCTGATGGAAATTTCTAAAATAAATTATTCTCCTATCTTGATGAACATTCAATTCACTGAAATACTGAAGTAAGATATTTCACTGACATTTCCTTGTCTGACATCTTTGACGAAATAGAATTTCAGTTACTCGGATACATATCATGAGGCTCTCTGTTAAACCATATACATATTTCTTGGTAATTTCATGTGAAATACATGGCATATGATTCAATTTGATAAGTTTCTCTATATTGGAATGAAGCAAAACTGCATTTTCATAAAAATAGTATACCAAGTCATTTGATTTTCAAAAGAGTATTGTTACAGTACATCTTGTACCTAGTGTACAACTTCATTCAAAAGATATATATATTTTTTTATTTTGAAAAGAATCACAACAACTGCTTCTTAGGATTACATAATTCATGAAGTAGATAGTGCAGTTGTAGTGACTGTGCTTCGTTAACCAATCACTCTCGTAACCGTTATCATATAATCCTGAACGGTGTTTGAAATCAGAAGGCAAAGAAAAGCAGTGACTACATTTTTATCAGCAGATAACTCAGACCACAAAGCAGTGAGGCGAATGAGTCAGCGAACCGACAGTATAGAGTGTGAATGTGCATGTATATATACAGGGAAATGAATGGATCATCGAATCATTTAAGCAGCTAATAATAAATCTAGCAGAATGAATACATGAGTACGTGGCAAGCAGTGTCCAAGCATATATATTTCATACAAGCACCACATTAACAAAGGTACAATAAGTTGTTATAGTACGGATGACTTTATCCGCTAAATAAGTTAACAAAATGGCTTGGTTGAGTTAAATGAGAACAAACTCAATTGCACGTGAGTTGCTATACAGTTTTATATATAATATTACAATATTTCCGGTAAATATACGTGAGTTTTAGTTAAGAGTTAAAAAAAGTAAATTGGCGAAAATTTGAGTGATTGAATTGAGATTAATATTTTGTTAATCACCTATTATTATCTAATATTTATATAGAACAACTGAAAAAAATCAAATATAGTTATTTGCTTCTTAAATCACTCATTTGGCTTAAATACACATAACCCTTGAATTATTGCATATAAATCCATTAAGTTTAATTTAAAGTTCAAGTTTATGTAAGACGTTTTCATTTAGGAAATTTTCCATGAATACGGGCTTTAAATAAAATCAAAGCTCATATCCGGTTGTTTCATTGATTCCTGTATTTAAACTGTAAGGACTTATAACTTATTAATAGACTTCTAGAAATCTTAGGCATTATTTTCTTTTAAGATATTTAGATACGCGTGTCTATATATATATATATATATATATATATATATATATATATATTACTAAACTGACGTTTGTTACCCTTAAAAGTCAATACATTACATAACAATATTTAACGTTATTTTGTCTAGCTGTTAGGGGTGATTAACTTCTGCCTATAGAACTAACAAAGTGCACATGATCAAATTATATGGCAATGTAAAGCAATAATTATAAATATTAGATATTAATAGATGATTAATAAAATACTAACTTTCATACAATCACTTAAATTTTCGCCAATTTACTTTTTTTAACTCTTAACTAAAACTCACGTATATGTACCGGAAATATTGTAAATGAAGTTTATTGTAATATTATATAAAAAACTGCACTATCCACTTCATGAATTATGTAATCCTAAGAAGCAGTTGTTGTGATTCTTTTCAAAATAAAAAAATATATATATCTTTTGAATGAAGTTGTACACTAGGTACAAGATGTACTGTAACAATACTCTTTTGAAAATCAAATGACTTGGTATACTATTTTTATGAAAATGCAGTTTTGCTTCATTCCAATATAGAGAAACTTATCAAATTGAATCATATGCCATGTATTTCACATGAAATTACCAAGAAATATGTATATGGTTTAACAGAGAGCCTCATGATATGTATCCGAGTAACTGAAATTCTATTTCGTCAAAGATGTCAGACAAGGAAATGTCAGTGAAATATCTTACTTCAGTATTTCAGTGAATTGAATGTTCATCAAGATAGGAGAATAATTTATTTTAGAAATTTCCATCAGAACAATGACTAGGTAGTTTATTGTAAACTACCGGAAATGAAAACAATTCTTTCAACCGACCTCCTCAGTGAATCGAAATTTTTCTTAATCAATCTTGTTAGCCTTATTTATTATTATTATTAATATAAATGTTGTTAGTGTGTTTTAGAAAAATATCTTCACTGTCTTTTATTTATTACTATCTTGACGAAATGGAAATGTGTTCGAACCTTAATAGGGTTTGTAACGTACTCTTTTGAAGTAACAAGGGAATGATATCTCTTATGAGAACCAACTAGAAGCTCCGCTTTACAAACAATATTTACAAATCAGTAAAAACGATGACTGAACAGTAAAGCATCTTCTTTATCTATGCGAATGCTATTACTTAATATGTTTACCGTTATGTATGTTCAACCATCATAGTATGATCAATTTATACAAACTATTATCAGTGATATCCATATGTTTTTTTGGGAAACTCCGGATATGAAAAATCGATGCAATCAGAAAAAATTCATTTATCTCCTTTCAATTTGAAACTAAAATAAATGTTATACCACTAGATTGGAGCCAACAGATTGTTAGAAACTGTTGTAAAACCTGTATAAACTGCATAATTTTAAATTCTCGGTCTTAAAAACATCTGTGGTTGGTTCTAAGCGATTTCCATTCGAAGTTGCTTCCTTTTTTAATATGATTAGGGTCGTAGTTCATTCTATACGGATCCATTGCTATAGTTGTATTACTAATGTCACTTCGTAGGAACCTAAAAGTCGTTGATTATTAAAAGGTTAAACCTATAAATGAAATAAAATATAAGATAAATACCATACAAATTTTTAAAATATCTAAGAATAAAGATGATCGTTTTATACAGAAGCAAAATTATAATATTTAAAACATACTCACGTCAATAAATTCATTGCCTTAATCCTTTGCTTTGTGATGTAGATGGTAGGGTTAAAACAGTGGTCGCCATAGAAGTGGTTTCAGTTCCTGTTCCACCACCAGAACTATCTTCATCACTTTCTTCACTCTCACTAGGGGCTTCTAAACCAGAATGTAAAGTTAGTTGAATAGCTCTTGTTAAACTGACAGCTGGATAATAAATCCCATTTGGTAAATTAGTGAATGCAATTGGACCATGGGGTTGATCATTTAAATAATAAGATAAACTGCCTCTATTACAATCCAGTCGAATACCAACTACGCTACCAGCATGTATTCCACCATCAGTTCGTTCAAAATGTTCTCCATTATGTAAAAACCAACTTCGTTTATAATCAAAATAAATCGACCAACTTTTCATATCAAGACCTAAAGTTGTAGAGAAGAGAAATATAATAGAAATGTTTATATTGATGGTTTTCGTTTTAATCACTTATTAATTCACATTCTAAAAAAACTTTTTCGTTATGTTGCATCAAAATGATTGTGTTGTGACATTTGATGTTTTGCTTATAATTAAAGTAAATGGAAATTTATCAGTTAGATTTATATTTAACAAGACTAATGTAACATATTTAAATCCATATTTAAAAAGTGAGTTAATACACCTCAATATTACAGTAAGATTTTTAATGTATACTACTCTATTAATTTGATCATAATATTAAAATCTAATCTGGTCACACATATACTTGTCAAGGCATTTTTATATGAAAATTAATAAAGGTCAATAAAGGTCAAACAAACAAATACATCACATTTTTCAGATCAACTCCGTCTTCTCATTGTTCTATCGAAATTTATAAAAGGGACTAATTGCTTTAAATTAAAATCTAAGTAATAAATAACATCAGAAGGGGGGTTTTGTGGATATTATATTAATTTTAATGGTTGGAATCATGAATAAATTGAAGCTAGACCACCATGGAAAACCTGGAAGAACTATAATATTCACAAAACCCCTTCTGATACTAAGTGCCATATCCTCACTAGTGACTGGCTTCAAGAGGTATTTCCTGGAGTTCTATTAATAAATAATCAACTAGATTTTCATTAGTAATCACACTTCTCAGTAAAGAATTTGCATCAGAGAATATTACAAGTTTGAGTAACCTAATCTGTTTATTCTTTTTTTAGGAATTACATCAAGTTCATGATGATGTCTTGATAACAGACACTTATTGTTAGTTACTGAGTAAAAATTGATTAACAATCAGAATAGTAGTTTCTATTACGAGTAAGTCATTCTTCATGCTAATAGTGTTTTGAATAACAATTTTGAAAAAAAAATGACTGAAAAGAAATTTTTTAGAACTGGTATTTTTATGTTTAGTATTAGAATCCTGAACCTTCCTTTCATTCGTTTTGTGACTTGTCAGTTGGATGTACCTACATCTTAGTATTATTATTCATCTTGAGACTCGAACCCAGTACCTTACACTTCAAATGCTAAAGGTTTCATCCATCAAACTAAAATGTCCAGACAGTCATTCAAGTAATACAAGAAAGGTTTAACTTATTCTATTATTGATTATCTAAACAGGATTTTAAACAAATGCTGATGTGAATTCAGCCAAAATTATAAATAAGATAATTTAAATCTTTTCTTTTAATACTAAAAACGAAATGTTTAATGACTAAGTTTACAAACCTAAACTGAGTAGTATATAATGAAGAATTATAAATTGTTATATTGTATCATTATTAATATTATCATCATTATTTATATAATAATCATTTGAATAAACTTGAAAACTACAACATTCATTTAAGATTAAATTAGAATGATATGATAGTCTAAAAATTATAAGAATAACTCATAAGAAACTTTTTTTTTGTTTAAAAAATTGTCATAACTATTTAATCTTGATAGTTCATTGAAGATTATTCATATGAATTAATGAAAACAAAAATTGTCTTAGAAAACAAATAAATCGTGAAATTTTCATTTAAGTAATATGTTTTTTTCTTAATTTTTATTTTAACTTTGCATTAAATAAACAATTATTTATTATTGTTTGAATTCATGAATCAATTGAAGCTAGACAACCATGGAAAACATGGAAGCAATGAACGGCCTATTGTGGGACTCCTCAGCAGTGCACATTCACGATCCCGCATCTCGAGATTCGAACACAGGACATATCGGTCTCATGCACGAATGCTTAACCTCCAGATCACTGAGACGACCGGCATCCAACAGTCTCAATGTCTAACTTCAACTAATCCACAAAATTGAGGGACACATCCATTATTGTCTTCAGTGAGTTACTATTTCACAACAGACCATTTAAACTCCACTGTTCACTGTTTCTCATTAGAACTTCATGAAATACCTCTTGGAGACAGTCACTAATGAGCGTATTTTGATTCATAACAGAAGAGGTTTTGTGAATATTATAGTAATTTCATAGTTGAATTGATGAGTTAAATAAAACTAAACCACTATGGAAAACCTGGAAGCAGTAGATGGCTGTTTCATTTTAATATGGGAAACCTCAGCAGTGCGCTTCATGAATTCAACTACTAAATTGCTATAATATCCACAAAATCTCTCTCTAATTATTATTATTATTATTATTGTTATTATGGAAATACTAACATAATAATGTTGAATATTGTGCAATAATAGACAATAACCATTCTGATTTAGCTTATTTAAAATTACAATCATTTCTTGATAAATAGCATACTCTTTGAATATCTCACTCTTACAGGAGATTTGTCTTGAATCGAATAGCCCAGTGATATTATCTAAAAATGGGTTCAAATCCCATGGAGAGCATCACTTTCGATACGATTACAGATGCAGATTATTGATAAATGTCAGTCAGTATTGAAAGTAGATTTAGGAACGTTCTACTGATTCCCATTCAAGTAATTTAAATGCAAATAAGACAATAATTAATCATCAACATAATGTGACGAAATATAACTATCTGTAATAATATTTTAAACAATAGTTGAAAATTGTTAATTAAGATAGATATTTTTGTATCATGGTTTCACATCAATTCAAGATAGATATTTATGAATTGTAGAAGTACTTTTAAAGTTGTATTTTATCATTTTTATACATTTAATCAATACTTCGTGTATTATTTTCATTTATATGAATATTCTATTTTGTATTTATCAGAATATATCTCTGATCATAGTTTATATCTGTTAACTAAATAACTGTTTTTAACAGCTTTCTCTTTCTTAAATAACTCTTATGTTCCTAATCTCTACACTTATTTAATTAGATTTATATTCCTTTTTAAGGGAATATCTACATATTTCAAAGTGAATTTCTTTGTTTCTATATAAATACTATACATTGTTAATGTAATAATTAAAACAAAACTATATGAATGATGGTTAAATAATGAAATTAATTAATTTTGACAATTTGTGACATTACATACTACTTAGACAATTCACATGGTTCTTTTGTGGTTTGAAACTTTTATGTTACATCATATGTATAACTATGAGTATGTATTGTTAACTATTAGACAATGATTAAATAGTTGTGTTGTACTCTTTAGTTTCCCAATACCATTCTATTTAGTACTAATTTATGATGAAGTTTACCTTCAGTTAGCAGTTTCTAGAAAATTTAGAAGTTTTTCTTAGAAGTTTCAAAATCAAATGAACAAAATTATGGATGATAATGGCGATGAATCATCTTATCTATTTAATCAACAAATTTGTTTATCCACATTTTATTTTTGATAAATTTAATAGACTAATACAATGATTTTCACAGTCTATTATGTCATACATTATTAGATGCAACTTGAAATCACGCAACATCAATTTATCAGTTTAATTGAAGGATTCAATAGTTAAGTGATAATAATAAAGCAAAATAATGAAATGATAATAATTTCAATCAAGATGATTTAGTTATTATTGGTGATGATGACGAAGTTGATAACATAGTGGCAAATTTCTTACTATGAAAGTGTTAATAATCTAATTTATTGATGATTCATTCATGAATATAAATGTATTCTCTAAGGTGTATAGTAGACATCACAAAGATCGTGAATAAAAGTAATGAAGAATTCAAATAAATACATAACATTATGATGAAAAAAATAAAGATTTTTTTCTAAAAAAAAATGGGAGCTGATTCAAACAACACCTTTAGAATTTGCAACAGTCAGTAGAAAAGAAAAAGAAAACCGATAATCATAAAAAAAGAATAAATAAAAAGTGTGAAAATGGAAAGAAACATCCATTAAACCATTGAATACAATCACGTTTAAACTTATTTAATTCTATTCGCTTTTAAGTAAGTAAACAGCAATATGAGAAGAAAATTCCGAGTTATAAAAAAAACACAACAACAACAAAACATAAGAAGAAAATGTTTTAGTAAACCTTTCTATCCATCAATAAGTTATAATTGTATACTTGAAATTATGATTAAATAATGTAATTTGTCAGTTAATAGTGATAATGTATTCACTTAAGTTTCTTTCATTTTCTTTTTTTTGTTACTGAATATAAACGACAATATTCAACTTAGAATAATGTGAAAAGAAAAGAGTAGATTCTTAAGAGTATTACATCAATGAAATACAGTAGATGTAGTTTCGTATAGAAGTGATTAGGCAAATCTGCGTGTCTAGGGAATCGATGAGTCATTATTCGTTAGAAAATATAGTCGATTGAGTCCCATATTTGACTGAATTATATATATATATATATGTTATAAACAACGTTGTTATTGTTAATGATGTGAAGAGAAATGCTGAATCATCGAATAAATTTGAGTGGAATCTGATTCTCATTTAGATTTTGTTTTCCCCTTGCTCAGTTCATTCATTTTTCTGTAGAAAACGAATATTTATATTATTTTTTTCTGTTTTTTTCTTCTCAGCATCAGCTTAAATCTCCTCTAATTAATTTTTGTAGACAAAAATATAAAAAAACATTTTTTTTTGTTTTTTGGAGGGATTCACTTTTTCAAAGTCATTCATAATTATTTTATAAGTTTTAGTTAACAATTAATGAAATGAGATTTTGTTTTTACCAAAAATCTCATTTCATTAATTGTTGTTGTTGTTGTTTTTTTTTTGTTTAAAAGAAATCCCTTTTATCAACTTTAAATGATCTTATCATATGATCTGATAGACGCCATAATAATTAAATATGACACTTCATACACAACAATAATGTTTCAGATTCATATTGGTTAGTTACTTATTCCTAAGTTGTTAGTAGGAAAATATACAACTGAAAAGTTATTCTTTAACTAATCTAAAATTAAGTTCAAAAGGTGTTAGCGATAATCAAGTTGAATAAATCCTATTTCGACTGACGGTTTTTCTCGGGAAGGTTTGTCATATTTTATTTATTTATATATATATATATATATATCGTTATGAATAGTAAATAGGTTACTTTTGGAATGTTACGACTCTATTAAACTACTAATTTTATATCTTTAGTAACCTGAAAATGATTTATGGTAAATAAATGACACTACTATCTATAATCTTGTGCTACTTATTCTGACAGATATTAGTAGTATGTAGCACCATTCGTAATTGAAATGTTTGGCAGCAGAATTTAATAATACATATAAGTAGTGAAACTATGGAAATAAATTAACATTCTTTTACTTTAATTTACAAATAAATAAAGTTTGATTGTGACGTAATAAACTTTAATTATTCCGTTTTTATATATAAAATTTAGTAATAAGATGGTGGAGAAGATTTGTAGCTCAGATGGATTATTTTGATCGGGTTTTGCTCTCTGAGCTGGATGGTTTGGTCGTGGAGCTTCCATTGTTCTTCTGAACGACATTATCAGCACAAATTTCAGATAGAAGTCAGACTTCTAATGGTGATATATGAGTTTACAACATTGACCGTTATGTCAATAACAAATGATCCTATTATTTTTTCCCCAGATGTATATCACTATGATACTGAAATAATCAGTAATTAATAATTTATACAAAATTGACATATTCTAAAATAACTTCACGTAAAGAAATTTTACATTGAAACCTCTCACGTCTACTGTATTATAAAATAGATAATCAAACTTACATTGACAGAATAAATAAGCCAATAGTGAGTTTAAACTTTTTATGATTTCACAAAAATAATTTGAAGGAAATTTGAAGGAATGATGTGTAAATACCATTATTGTAAAAATAGAAAAATGATAAGTTAATCTAATAGTATCAGAATGAAGCAATGATGTCCAATTTATTGATATCCACATTACCAACATCATAAACCATCATACTTTAGAAGGGTTTTTCGTAGACATCATAGCAATTTTAATGGTTTAGATCATGAGTCAATTGAAGCTTAACCACCATGGAAAATCTGAAAGAACTATAATATCCACTAAAGCCGCTTCTGATATGAATTGACATATGTTCATTAGTGACTGGCTTCAAGAGGTATTTCATGAAGTTCTAGTGAGAAACAGTGAACAGTGGAGTTTAAATGGTCTGTTGTGAAATAGTAACTCACTGAAGACAATAGTGAATGTACCCCTCAATTTTGTGGATTAGTTGAAATTAGACATTGACTGTTGGATGCTGGTCGTCTCAGTGATCTGTAGGTTAAGCGTTCGCGCGCGAGACATAATTTCTGTGAATGCACAGTGCTGAGGAGTTCCACAATAGGACGGAACGGACGTCCATCGCTTCCATGTTTTTCATGGTGGTCTAACTTCAATCGACCCACGATTTCAACTATTAAAATATAGTTTTGTTTTATCACAATGAGTAGAAAAGTTATATTTTTGTCGTTTCGTATTATTTACGTATTATTTAGTATGAAAACTTTAAACAGTAATTTATCTTACCACTTCATATTATTTTAACCAAACATCTTGATTGACAAATATCGTATTCGAGGAAAATTAATTTCAATCCCAAATGATTACTTAATATCTGTTCGAATAATTGAAATACTGAATATAATTAGATATACACTACTATAAATTACGGGTTTATAACATTTAACGTTGTATCTGATCGTAAACCATGTATTATAAATAGATCGACAGTAATTTGTTTATTTACACATTATAGTGATAATTATTTACTTATATTCTGTATGCTATTTTCATAATAGTCATTTACAGAATGTTTCGTTGTTTATTACGTAATATACCGTCAGCAAATGGTCTATTATTGTATCATTTTTACAGATCATAGAAACGAACAAAATTATTACAGATGAATAAACGATTATATAAATTAAGATGAAAATTAAAGGAAACTTTTCCATAGTATCACATCATGTTTCTTTCTTTCTGTTTTTTTTCTAGATAATTCAATAGCGTTTGTTTGTTTGTGTTACAAACACAGAAAAAGAATGACAAAAAGACTAAAAAAATTTCATAAATATTTATGTTGTTCAAAATAGAATGTATAAAGTATACACATGAACAAATTTGTATCCTTTCAGTTCATTTGCACGTAATTCAAATAATTAGAAGTATAGAAGGAAAAAACGCCTTGAGGAGAAATTGACATAAAAAATAAATAAATACGAAGCGGATAAACTGTATAAGGGAGAGATACGGATAAAGAAAGTGTCACTTATGATGAAAATGGGAATATTTATTAGAAGATGTATAGTGTAAGAGAATTTCTTCTATAATTTTACATTTTTTTATTTGTCTTTAGTTATTTACGTTCAAGCATATAGTTTGTAAAAAGGTAAACAATAACCATATTTAATTTATTATCTGCATTTTACCGTTGACATTATTTATTTGGCTGTTACATTTTCTTAATATTTACAACAGTTTTGACGGTTCTTTTAAATTGATCCATTTTTATGTTTTAGATTGGATTGGTTGAGGTTAGACATTAACACTATTGGATGCCGGCTCAGTGATCCAGTAAGTTAGGCGTTCGCGTGCGAGAGTGAATGCCCTGGGTTCAAATCCCGCGAGCGGGATCGTGGATGCACATTTCTGAAGAGTTCCAAAATAGGACAGAACGGCTCTCCAGTGCTTTCAGGTTTTCAATGGTGGTCTAACATCAATCGGTTCATCATCTCAATCAAAAAATATTATTTTAGAATTGAAGTGAATAAATAAATACCTTATCTTTTATTAATAGGTACAGTCATATTATCATATTGATCAGTAAGTTTCTTGAGCTACATAATATCGATTTATAGAATAATAATTTGTCAATTATATAACTCACCAAGCATTATTTCTTTATTACAATCATATCTAGCTATACCAAATGCAGGTTGCCCACCAGGATCACAACGATCTACAGTGAATTCCCAATAATGTACACCTCTTGATAAACCAGTTGAACCAAGAATTACTCTATCTTCAGATAATTGACTAGTAACAGTTCTATTTCCATTTGTAAGTAAAATTTCTGGTACAGAAGTATGAATATCCAAATGAAACCAAGTAACTAATATAAAAAGAAGTAAATATAAAACAAATGAGTTAATTTTTAGAAAACTAAATAAAATTATATTTTTTTAAAAGTTAAATATCAAAATGATTTATGTGAACGTTAAACTAATTTTAAGTGGATCCGAAGCCAAAACTTCGGTAGAGAAATAGCAATTAGGTATTTTGGTAAAATAAATTTTGTGAATTATACACGATTACGGTCTTGAGTTTCCTATGAAAACTTGATGCAAACCAATATTACACCATTCAGTCTTCTGTATTGATGGGATCTCATCAAATAAAATGCAACATAACTGTTAGTTTATGTAAATTAACATCATAATGTATTATATTTGATTTCAAATGGTAGACTTGTCATGCTGTTGAATGATAACTAGAATACAACCTATTTAAATGGTTATCTACCAACTGTCTCCATATATCTGCTATTAAAATAATCATTTCAGAATTTCCTTCGAGCTTTTTGTCCATACTTATCAAACTCGCTGGAGACCTCATAAAATGGATGTCCCAAAAATGTTCTCGTTAAGGTTGAATTATATATATAAACTTGAAACTATAAAACACATAAAATGTGCAAATCACAAACAGCCATCAATTTTTGAAACCGCTAACAAACCACCTTTTTTCTCTCTTAATTTGTTTAATCTGGATGGCATTTTTTATCAAGATTTTTTTACGGGATGGGGTTGTCGACCTCATGCCCAGCCCTCTTCCTTTACCCGGGCTTGAAACTGATAGTATTTTTAGTAGAGCTATAGGCGGAGTTCCTTTAGATTTATTCAAACTACATCATTTGTCGTTAAAGACAAATATTTAATAATAATAATAATAATAATGATAACTTCATAAACAAAAATTCACATTCTTAAGTATTCTTCGTATTTTGTTAAGTATTTAGTTTTCTTAAAAAGGGACGAAATATATAAATTAATGATACCGTTATGTATAAAAACAGCAAGTAATTTTATAAAATTGGAAACTAGAAGATTTACATGACATTTTATTATACTGATTCAGCATTGTTTATCGTTTTCACTTTCTTTTTTTGGCATATGTTTTTATAAGGCTTTCTAGAAAATGTCAAGAACCGGGTTTCATGTTCTTTTTGTTTTTACTTATTCTCATTGTATTTATATTGTCAAAATATACTCGATTTTTATTATGAATTCCTATGAAAATTATTCTTGTTCTGTTGTGATTTTATTCTAATGAATCCATATTATCAGTACTATGAATAAACAATTTGGTATATTTTGATAAAATAACTCGACCACTGTTAAAAATCTGAGAGAACTGTAAAGTTGCTTTAGTCTAATATGAAACTTTTCAGTGACTAAGGTATTGGATGTTTACGTGCAAGACCAAATAATCTGAATTCAACTCTATGTGATAAGATTGCAAACACATACTGAGTACGAAACCTATACTAGGACGAAATAATTTTCCAATGCTTCCTGGCTTTTAATTATGATCTATTTAAGATCAGTTCATGTTTTTAAAACTATGAACAATAGAATTAGTCTTATATGAAAAAACAATAAAAAAGTCATAAAACACTAAATCTAAATGAATAAAGCGCTTGTTAATGGTAGATTTATATTTCCTACAAGGTAGATAAATTAATATAAACAATATGATTATCATAAAATAGGATATTTATGTTATGATCATCACAATTTATGATATTGAATGTAAATTATTTTTATTTTATTTTAGAAAAAGGAATCTATTCTATCTTGTTCAGTGTACTTTGTTATTGATACCAATATAGTTAGTGATACTGGAGTTATAGGTATCCATTCAAATTTTAGTTGATTTTCATAGATTATCAATAAAATCATAAACTTCATTTTCTATTCTGATGTTTTATGATGATGATAATGATGGCAAATGAATTTATCTACGTTAAACTAGTACTTACGTATATATTCATATTATATGAATAAATTATATCTTCTAGTTATAATTATTTTCATTAAGAAAGAGTTAGGCTTTTATCAAATTCCTTCGTACAGTTTTGCTATTTACTGAGATTAACTTAACAAAAGTCAGATCCCTTAGTTCAATGGCGAAGTATTCAAAATGATTGAGTAAAATTTAGATATCAACTAGACAATTTGTTTATTCTGATTGGCGTTCTTTTTAGCAAAGTTGGTTTCCAAGGGGTGGAGTTGCTAACCCCATGTCCAACTCTCCTCCTTTACCCGGGCTTGGGACCGGCAGTAGCTATAGAAGATGTACAGGCCGCGCTTGCCTCGTGATGCAGTTTGATGTGTCACGAGGCAAGAGCTTACTTGGAATCCTGAAGGAAAACGGAAAAGAGGAAGATCAAAGAGCACACTGCTTTGGGAATCGGAAAGAGACATGAAAAAAACTAATAGCTACTGGAAACAACTGGAAAGGACTACCCAGGACAGAGTTAGATAGAGAATCCTGATGAGGGGCCTATGTTCCTCCATGAGGAGTAACAGGAGTAAGTAAGTAAGTAGTCAGTTTGTTATTTTTGCTTAAACCATAATAATCCCACTTATGGGGTCTATCTGATAATGAAACAATATGTTTTACACCGATAATTTTATGAATGCAAACTATCGGCGTAAATCATTGAACCTAAATTTCATACTAACTGTGAAGAATTAACAAAGGATATCTGTAATTTTGTGGGAATTCAAATCTATATCAAATGATAATACCACACTCAAAGATGTTATTGTTGGGCTAGTAGATTAATGACTGAACTCTTATGATATTCAATCGGTAACTGAATCGGTAGAATTTGATACGCACTAAAAACTAAGCAAGCGGGTTACATTAAGTTATGAAACGTCGGAAATACAACTTTTCTACTCATTTAGGTATAACAAAAAATATATCAGTTACTAAATCTCTACCCAAAGCTCGATTTATTTGAAGCTAACAAGTTCAATCTTGGCAGTGATACCTCTAAGCAACATTTTTTTGAATCAGTGATCAATAAGTGTGTTTACTAATAATCTCAATTTCGTTTACCGGACTTTTATTCTTTGTGTTAATGATTGGGTGACATACTTTTGGCGCAAACGATTGTTTGTGAATGGATGTGAGTAAATGCATGATTTGCCGTGTGGCCGAAAAATTCCATTCCCGTGTGAAATAATTCATAATCGCTAAGTTGAAATCTATAATCGCTGAAAGCCTTCTAGTTTACATTCGTGACAAAATTTAAATTCAACTTGTCCACATTTTCCAGAATTTTTCACTTAAGTGTACTCAAGTCATCGTATTTCAATGATGATTTATAAATAAGTACATTACGACGAAGTCCTATTTTAGATTATTTTTTGTACATATTATTTCTAAAACTATTGTGGTGTGTGCTACTTATATCAACATACGTAGTATATAACACTAGTCAGGAGTAGAATGCCTGGCAACAGAAGGTTGAGAAAATCGAGAAGGAAAGAACGGGGACAGAAAGCAATTGGTATGGGAATGCGGGAACAATGAAGTCTGAGACAATTAATGATTATTTCGCAAATGAAGCATTGGAGTATAGTTTTTCTATTTTATCAAGTAACTCTGTAATTTTGTGCTAAATATAATCGGTTATCTTCACCTGTGTTCTTCACTACACTAATTAAGTACGATGAAATAAATAATGTTCGCTGATTATTGTAAGGGATGCAATTCAACAGTATTCAATAAGCTTTTAAAAATACATGCTTCTATAAATTGGTAGGTTTTTTGATAACAGGTTGAGGATGGGAATTCGGGTTACCGAAATGATTTATTAGCTATATTGTTCGTTCTAACTAACTACAATGCATATTTCTATATAAAAATAATTCGCGGATATATAGAAGTGGATGCTGGTGAGACAATAAGACGTACGGATAGATATTTAATTGACACCAAGAGCAGATCAAAATCTATGTCCAAATACAATATATTTTACCGATTAAATCTAGAATTTAATTCACCGGAGTATAGGTCATCTCTTCTTAATTAATGAAACATTTCAATGAGATGATAATATATGAAGTGTCATGTCCAATAAAGACTAGTTACTAAGTCACATATTTGATCGATTTACAAATAATTATTGGTTATTCCAAACGTATAGATTGACACAATTAGCTAATAGTGTTTTAGCATTTACTTTTGTTAAAAGTAAAATAAAATTATTTAGATATTTTGAAATATAAAGTTTCAAAGAAAGCAAGTTACATCATAAATTATTAACAAGGGCAACAACATTCTATAAATAATTATCATTTTAAATATTATAGAACATATTAATCTTATCATTGAAGAAATGACATTTTAACAAATATATTAAACTATGGAAAGTTGTTTTTTTTTAAACTATTGTCATTTGGAAAACTATTTAAAACTGAAGAAAAACTTTTTGTAGCCTCATGTTTGACTCCACTTTGGTTGTCTCTGATTGCTTTCGAGGTATACATGAAGAAATTTATATCCTGGTTATCGTTGTATGTAATTATCGACTTAATCTGCGTTAGTGAATGACGGAACTAAAATAAGTCAAATATGAGAAAGGATTTTGAATACTTTTATTTTTTACAATAATTGATCCAGGCAAATGATCAAAAGAATGAAGTGAAACAAAATGATGCACGGTGTAGGTGTATGAGCCAACTCCATTTAACCAAGTGTTAATTGATATTATAGCCAGATAAAAATAGGTTACAGACATGTGATGAATAGGATAAGAAGTGTACACACATATGCTCATATAAAAACAGTCAAGATTAATAAGTGAATAATTAACAAGATCAAAATGTGACTCAAGAAAAATGAATAAATTGGGCTGTCCAGAAGGTGGAATTAATTATATGGGCTTAATATAGTAGCCGACATTACAAACTGAACAACTGAACTCTAGTTTGAGTTTTTTTATCATTTACTACTTATCATCCTGTAGAATATTGGTCTGAAAATTTTTAGATCTGATTATACGGTTATTAAAGCTCATATCATTAAACCAAATAA